AATCAATGAAACCTAGAGCTGGTTCTTTGAAAAGATATAAATAAGATTGATGAACCATTAGCCAGACTCATCAAGAAACAAAGAGAGAGGACCCAAATAAATAAAATCAGAAACAAAAGTGGAGAAAGCAGTTCCCAGGGATGGAATACAGTGAATGCAGGATCTTGGGAGACGGTTTCCCTAATTTGTTGAATGTTGTTTTCTATCAATTGAGAATTGTCAAAAAGATTAAAACAGCACATTCCTTTAAATTCCTCACTGTGGTTATGCCACAACCAGAAATAATCTATTGCTGCCTGATTCTCTAGAACTGCCTCCCTGACCTGGCTTAGCTCTTGATTTATCCCGTGTATAGCCCTGGAGGTGGCATTTAGGGCTTTTACCATGCTACAAGCCAGCCAGGTCACTTCTACATTAATGGAGCCTACCATTACCAGCATAACAAAAATGGTTAAAGCAATATAGTCAGCAGGCTCCACAGGTGGAGATCATCATTGTAGTCCAGTGCCATGGCCATGAGATGGACTCTTTTGGTTCAAACCCTGTGATGTTTCTGGGGCATAAAGATGGTCAGTCATCCTAAGGAACAAGGCCCCCTGGTGGCTCAGTTTCTTTGTCCTGAGGGGCTAATTAAAGCTCAATCATGAAATTCCAGCAAAGCAGATTTTTCAAAAAAGCCTATAGGACCAATTGCTATTCTTATTGTGTTCATGCAAACAAGCAGGCCAAATTGAAACTAGACTTAATAAAGTAAATAAATTGGTCTTAATTTGGCTCTTTAATAAAAATGAGGGTGGTTTTAGGGGGGAAATTGTGTTTCTGTAGACTCTGTAACACAAAGTGGTGAATGCTAGACTCAAAGCTTTATTTTTCACCCGTGAATTAAACTAGATCCTGAATTTATCTCTAGCTTTTATCCCAATAACACTAAAATCTATAACAGTTTGTCTCCACTAGTTACAAGCCCTACTCGTACTCAGGGCATACCCTCTCTAGACATCACTGCCACCTCCTCCCATGCCCAGGCCTCATCGTCCCTCTGACACAGAACAAGGATCTCTTGGCTCTGAAAGAAAACTTCCTCCCTCCTCAGCTTGAAGCAGCCACAGAAGAGACCCTGCACCCCCTTTCTCTAAAGAATTCAGAGCCAAGATACTTGAGGGGGATATGGTAGGCAGTCAGACAAACATGAGCAAAATAAGGACAATGGGCCAATCGGAGGAGAAATGGACAGGACCTGGAGATGCGCTTCTCACCATTCCAACTGCTCTGAAGCCCACGATGGAGGAACCCATGTAGGGTGAACCTTTACATCTTGCCTAGTAGGAGTTGGGACATCTATTGCTAATATATAGAATTGTTCCATTCATTTTGGGAAGAAAGTCCCATACTGGAACCTTTATATGTTGGGACCCACTCTTTGGGAAAGGATGCTGCAGTAGCTTCCTGTGGTGAATGTCTGGCTTGTACTGGGTGTTCTAGTTGTTGTCTTTAAGTATCTAATAACAACAATATAAACTCTTCTGATAGTTTCACCCTCCCTTACAGCAATGGACATACTAAGCTGCTGACTGGGTGGTTTCTGATATGTGGCTCTGCTCTAAATAAAATAGAAAGTGAAAAGGCTAAAATAAAAATAATAAGGAGCTGGCATGTATTGAGTGCTCCCATATAGCAGGTGATGGTTAAGGCATTATAAACCTCATCAGCACCTACAAGGTAGGTGCTATTATTCCCCATTTCACAGTTGAGGACCAGGGACTGTTCCAGGGGTCATCCCGATGGTCAATGGTGGAGCAAGGCTCAAATCTGGGCAAGCTGGACTGAGAGGTTTTTTACCTTCTGGAATCAGCAGCTTTATAAAGCAATTTTATCATTTAGCATAAATTAGCAGGATCCCCTGGCTCCTAACACACTCCCTTCCTTTGTTTCAGGTAACACCGGGAGTTGATTGCAGTGACTGGAATGAGAAGTGAGAAGAGATCATAAGGGAATGAGAAATGACTGCCTGAAGGGGAACAATAAGGAAAGATTAATTTGGGAAAGGCCCAAAAAGGAAGCCACCTCGTGCACATCACATGGGACTCTTCAAGGTGAAGGTGATGCTCTCTCATCATCTTTCATGAGCTGGAGCTTCTGTGGGCATGACCTCTGCAGCCCCTTCCTGAGGGGATTTTGGGAGAAAAGATGGAAATGTTGCTGCAGATGTTAAAGAGGAGCCAGCTGAGCGGGTGGTTTACTGCAGAGGATGTCCCACTGGAGGAAAAGAAACTGATGTTGGAAGGAATACGCCAGGAATGGGAACAAGACATGTACCTGGGAAGGTCGCCGAGACCCCCAGGCCAAGTTTTGTGAGGATTCCTATTTTGAGAAGGTCAAGTTTGAAACTGTCTCTTACAGGATTCCTCCTCTTCTAAACCCCAGGCTGCCCTGGCCTTTTCCAAGTCAGAGCGTTCCTTCTACCTACTTTTGTGGGAAATATTCCAAGAGCCAGCACTGTGTTGATTCCCTTGGCCTTCAAAGGTGAAGTCTGCCCTAAGGGAGCTCAGGTTCCTGGGAGGCAGAACGTCAAATGCTTATCAGCAAGGAGGCTCTGGGTTGGACTCCTTGTCTTCAGTCCCAGGTTCCATCACGTGCTGTGTCACCACAGGTAGATTACCCAACTTCTCTGTGCCCCAGTTTGCCCATCTGTGAAATTATATTCATCTCACAAAGTAGTGAATTTCGTAATTAGAATAGATGTAAAAGCATTTAGCTAACTGTCTAGCTCAAGGTAAACTTGAGATAAAGGATTATTTTTGTTATAAGCATGAAGTGGAGGGAACAAAAATATAAACAAAAGTGAGGTAAGGGGGTGTGGAAACACAGAGGAGGGAGTGCCAACTCTGCCTGGAGTAGGAGCTCACTAAAGGAGTTATTAAAACCTGGGGCCTTGGTCCTGGTGGGAGGGGTTCCCAGAATGGGCATCTTGAATATGTTTCCCAGGTGATTCTGCTATGCTATCTGCCCCTTAGCTACCAGAAAACCATTAATTATGCTTCTTCTTTTTTTTTAATCCTCACCTGAGGATATTTTTTTATATTGATTTTTTAGAGAGAGTGAAAGGGAGGGGAAGAGAAGAGAGAGAGAGAGAGGGAGAGAGAGAGAGAGAGAGAGAGACATCAATGTGGGAGAGACACATTGACTGGTTGCCTCCTACATGAGCCCCAGCCGAGGTACATGCCCTTGACTGGAATTGAACCTTGGACCCTTCAGTCTGTGGGTCAATACTCCATCCACTGAGCCAAACTGGCTAGGGCTAATTATGCTTCTTTCAAAGGAACATTTTTATTAGTAAAAAGTACACTTCATAAACCTTGGAAAATAGAAAAAAGAATCGCCCATAATCCCAATATCACAACACATTCATCATTAGCAATGGTACTCCCCATTTTTTCCTCATGCATCTTATTTTTGTTGTTTTAATAATAGTGCATGTGATAGTCATATTTTGCCTTACTATGCAATCATAGGCATTATTAGTATGTTATTTTCATAATGGATTTTTATTTTTAACTTTTTTTTCTAAATAGAAGTGGCTTTTGTTTTCTTTTTTTTAAAAAAAAATCCCAGACAATCTGAGCTAGTATAAAAAGAAAGTATAGCTGGAGAAAGCTGATGGGGGAAAAAGGAGGACATATGTAATACTTTCAACAGTAAAGATTAAAAAATAATAAAAATAATAATAAAAAGAAAGTACAAATCTCACATAGTCCTACTGCTCAGACGTAATCATTGACCATGTTTATGTGTCCTTCCAGATTTTTTTCTAAGCAAAGAAACATATACAGACTTTTTACATTTAAGGAGTTATATTAGGTAATGGTTTCTAATGACTGCACAGATTTATTTTTGTTTATATCAAATCTATGTAACTAGTAATCTATTGTTGGGTACTTGTTTTGTGTGTTTGTGTATTTCTCTACCATGTGAATTGACCATAATTTACTTAAGCATTTAGCTATTTTTAGATATTTAAGTAGTTTTCTTCTTTTGTTTTTGCTATAATTAATAACAATGCTTTGAAAAATCTTCAGGCATATGGCTTTCCCCATATTTTGAATAATTTCCTGGAGTGGAAGCATTGGGTCAAAGGGCAGGGACATTTTATGATTCTTGATTTGTATCACCAAGCTGCTTTTTCAAAGGATTGTTTGTGCCTATTCAGATCCTTCCAGCAAAGTGCTGGTACCAGTAACCCAAAGAGGGGTGGGGGTGGGGTGGAGAGAGGCGGTAGTCTCCCTTAAGAAGCTAGCAGCTTCTAAAGGGGACAAGATAGACAGAGGAGAGAGTGAATATGAAGAATGGAGGGAAAGAGAAAGGAAAGAAAAAACCATTTTGCCTGTAATTTTTTCCAACTGGATAAGTAATGCATGCTTCTTGTAAAAACCCAAACTTTTCCATAAATGTTTACATTTAATATTGAACGTCCTCCGCTGATGACAAGTTCTACTAACAGTTTAGGTATATTCTTGCAGGGTTTTTTTTTTACAAACATTAATGTATAACTTGTGTTGTTTTAAAAGAACTAGCTTCATACTATACACACTATAGTGCAACATCCCTACTGGAGACTATATCTTACACACTCTGGAGTGATTACTTCAAGTGTGCAGACAATTTTTTGCTTAATACCCAACTAGATTAGAACGAGAAGCAATATTGTCCATTTCCCCTGCCAGAGGGCTCGCCCAGGCCTTGTCAGCACTCTCCTGTGAAGGACAGGCCTTCTGCTGTCCGGCCAACAACGCCAAAGTGACCGTGGCAGTTCCAAGAACTCTGGCTCTTCCCCAGTCCGCGGGCTCAGGGGGTCCCCCTCCTTCCTCGAGGCGCAGCCCTCACGTGAGGCCGCACGCTGTGGGCGCCCGGCTGATTCAGCCTCTGCAGAACCCCTGGTCGGCCCCGTGACTCAGTTTCTCCATTTGCTCACGCGGGCCTACCGCGTGAAACACCTGCGCAGAATGCGGAAAGGGCCTCCGACGGCTTCTCCCGGGTGCGTGCTCCCAGGCGGAGCCCCAGGGACAGGCATTGATGCCGCCCAGAGCGCTCCTTCGGGCCGTGCCCTGCACCGGCCCCGGTGAGTCCGCGCTGCCTGGGTAGCAGAGCTCGGCCGC